CCATCTTCTGATGCTCTTCGAGGAAATCTTCGCTCAGATCGTCCAACTGCCTGATCTGCTCTTGGATGCCGGCCAACTGGCCTGCAACATTCAGACTTTTCCCGTTTGTCGCTGCGCCAGGTGCCGTTTCCTCAGTTGTGGCGCCTGTTGCTTCAGACGCTGCTTCTCCAGGCTTGGCCCACCGACTAGATTCTAGACCTTGTTTTGGAGATCTAGGAGAAGTAGTATTCACAGGTTTCTCTGCAGGCTTCGGGCTTGAAAGCGAAGTAGCCTCAGCCTTGAATCGTTCCGCGTCTTTGCTAGCGCTCTCGGCGAGGTTGCGTTGAGTTTCGATTTCGAGCATTGCTCCTTCCAGGTCGGCTTCAAGCGACGCGATAGTCTTCTTTGCTTCGTCGAGAGTCGCCTTTATGCCGTCGACGCGCTCTGAATCCGGAGCCCTCTCCGCCGCCAATTTGGCATCATTCAATTCTGTGAAGGCCTTTTCGAGTTGGGTATCATATTCTGCCCTGGCCTCGCGGATCGCATGGTCGTGCTTCTCCTGCAGTGCAGCAAGCTCCTTTTGGGCATCCGTGTACTTCTTGTTCAATTCTTCGAGCTGTGAGGGATCAGGTCGCTGCGCAGCAGCTTCCTTTGCTGCAATCAGCTCTTGCTTCATCGCTGCGAGAGCAGATTCTCGTTCCTCGTTTGCTAGTACCATTGCTCCGTGGTGGTTTTTCTCAACCTCTTTGGCATGTCCTTGTGCTTCAGCAAGTTGAGTTTGAAGTTCCTCCAGCTGTGCAGTTGAAGATTGACCGGACTCAGCGGCATTGCGCGCTCCCTGCAGCTCCGCTTGAAGTCGTGTGAGTGCGGCTTCGTGTTCCAATTTGACTTTTTGCCAGGCTTGCTCATGTTGTTTCTCTGCTTCTGCGAGGCGGGCACTAGCGGCCGCATTTTGCTCCTCTAGTTGGTCCACTTGAGTCTTCCACTGGCTCTCCAGGGTCTTCATGATCTCGTCCAATTGGCTGTCGTGTTCTCCCTTCATCTTTTTCTTTAGTTCTTCGAATTGAGATTCGTTTGCGGCTTGGCTGGACTCGACGGATTTGGCATGCTCCTCGCGCACTTTCTCAATAGCTTGCTCGTGTTGTTCCTTCAGCGTGTTCTCAAGCTCGGCAAGCGCCTTTTCATGTTCAGCGCGTAACGCCCCCATTTCCTCGTGAACCCTAGCCTCCAAACCCTTCTTTGCCTCCAAGATTTGATCGTGTTCCATCTGAAGCTCACTCATTCGTGCAAGTTTAATGACGGAGGTCGACATGTCTGCTTTTAGTTTCTCGAGAGCTTCATTGAGTTCCTCCTCCTTTTCTTTGGCGTCTTTTTCTGTGTTTTCAAGAATAGATTTCACCATCTGTGTCTGGAATCTGTTACCCTCGAGCTCCTCTTGAAGAGACTTTGTTTGTGATTCCAGCTGGCGTTTCTCATCTGCGAGGCTCGATCGTAATTCGTTAAGCGCCTCCTCATGAAAGGACTTGGCCTTGCTCTCTATGTCCTCCAGTTGTCGTGCGTGCTCCGCTTTCAGGGAAGTGATTGTCTCGGCATGACGCGAGGAGATCTGCTCTTCCAAGTGACTCAGTTGTTTTGCATGCTCAACTTTGATTGTTTGCATGGACGCTTGAGCTGATTTGAGCTGACCCTCTAAATCCATGACCATAGTGGCGTGGGATTCCTTCAACGCGTTTAGCGCAATTTCGTGCTCTGTAGCTCGCTTTTGCTCAAACACTTCAAGCTGCTTCAAATGGGTGGATTTTGCATCTGCCAGCTCGGCCTCCGCGGCATTCAGCTGTTGCTCAAGGGTTCGCACTCTTTCAATATGAATCTTCTCGGCCTCTTCAACGGCCCTCTGTTGTGACTCCGATGCTTCGGACTTCACGCGATCGAGTTGTTGCACATGCCCGGCTTCAATAGACTCCAAATCCTTGAGCGAGGCATTCATGTGGTCCTCCAACTGCTTGATCTGGGAGGAATGTGTTTGCTTAAGGGATAAAACTTCCTTGTAAAAGTCGTGGAGCTTTTGTTCGAGCTGTTGGATCTGCTCAGCATGAGCAGATTTCAGCGTCGCAACTTCTTCCTCCTGTTTCGCTTGCGATCCGGACAGAAGGCTCTCGAGCTCCTTTTGATGAAGAGATTTCAATGCGGCAAGTTCTTCTCGAGCAGACTCGCTCTTGGCCTCGTGATCTTTCAAAATTTGCTCATGGCTTGCGGTAGCCTGGTCGAGAGCGGTCTTGGCTGCATCTACTTGACTTTGCAACGCTGCGAGAGCTCCCTCGTGACTCGCTCTCTTTGCCTCTGCTTCATCTTTGGTCTTTTGTAACTGAGCTTCGAGATCTTGGATTCTACTCGAATGCGAAGCCCTGTAACTTTCAAGCTCGGCGTTTGCGGCGCCCAGGTCGGCTTCGGATTTCTTCAACACTTTTTGCAATTCGCTTTCTTGCGAATTCTGTGCCTTCTTCAGCTCTTCTTGCGCGTCACCTAATTGCCGCTTGATAGCTTCTAGTTCTTCCGTATGTGCTTCCTCGACCGCCGCGAGGGATGAAGCGGCGGCGGCGTTCGCATCAGCCTTTTCTTGTTGGAGATCTTTGATCTGGTTCTCGAGCTCTCTGACTAGTGCTACCCGGGCATTGCTTTCCTCATCCCTTGCTTGTTGGAATTCCAGAACTTGATTTTTCAAAGATACAATGACTTCATTTTGGCGAGACGTTTCCGCATTAACTTTAGCCAGTTCTTCCTGTTGCTGGGCAATTTCTTTCTGTTTGTTCACAACATCTGTAGCCAATTCATCAAGCTTGCTTTGGCTTTCGGCAAGCTGTGATTGATAAGTAGCTTCGAGGGTTGCAATCTTGGTGCGGAGCTCCTCTTGCAGCTCCGCGTTACTGTTCTGGGTCGAAGCCTGTTCAGCAGCGGCATTGCGAAGTTCTTCCAGTTCTAACTTAGACCGCTCAATCTCCTCCTGCGCAAGGGCGAGTTGAAGAGAGAGCTGGTCTTTTTTGGAATCGTGCCCTCGCACCTCTTCTTGATGTGCACTCTTCATTTCCGAAAGCTTGGTCTCGTGGAGTGAGGAAAGTTGGTCAATTTTCGCGGCATGCTCATTTCTGATTGCCTCCGTAGCCTCGTGCACGCGTAAGCTCTCTTCCTCCGCGCTCTTGCTGAACTGTTCGAGTTTCGCCTTCAAGTCTATCAACTCTGCTTGTAAGGCGGCGACCTGGGCTTGGCTCTGAATGGTTTCGTCTTGCGGCTCCGTTGCAGCCGCAGCCTCAATGTTTTCCACTGCTTCAACCGCGGGCTCAAGAGCTGTTTCTTCAGCCACCGATTGCAGCTCCTCTAATTCCGCGGCAGTTGGTACTCGACTGTGAGTACGTTCGAATTCCCTGACCTTGGCAAGATCCGACTTGAGTTTTGCGATTTTACTCGCGGCGTCTTGATTCATGGACTGTTGTTCTTGTTCATCGGCGCCATCTGCGGTCATAGCTGCTTGCAACATGCTGTTGACAAGCTCAAACTCTCTTATTCGCTGCTCTATCAAGAGCGATCTCGTGGATTTCCTCGATTCCAGTGCGGGACGGGCGGTCCCGGCTGCCTTCTCTTCCACGGCCGAGGATGCATTTTCCTTGTTGTCTTCGGGGTCTTCAATACCGGTCTTGACGGCGGGGGAGGCAGGGATTGTGCTCAGGCGCTTCCTCTCAGCGAGGGCTCCGGTAGCAACACTCCTTGAGGAGGAAGCAAGGGGCCTCGATCGTGTGGCAGAACTGGTCGAGGCCAAGGTACGGGCGGTGCTCGGAGTGGCAGCTACCTTCCTCGCGCCAATTGGACTGCTGCCGGGTTGTTGGCTTGATGTCGCTGCAGGTTGCATAGATGTTCGTCGAGCAGGGGTGGCCGCAACGGACTTGGAGGCAGAGGCTCGATCAGACGTCGTGGAGGGAGCCAGAGACATCCTCTTTGGTTTCGCAGATATGCCATCTTTGCTCTTCTCGTCGCCAGAAGGCTTCTCGTCCACCGACACCGACGTGTCTGATTCTCTTTTCTTATGGGTTGCAATTGAGGAAACCGAGGCTGTGGCAGAGGGTTTGCGAACGGTCGTGCTTGCAGCGGCCGGTCTAGCTGGCGGCTTGCTCAAAGAACTTCCAGCGGTATGCCTAGCAGCCGACGAGGTAGCAGTAGAGGTAGAGGTCGGTCTAGTCGTAGAACTTGTAGACAGTCTGGAGGTCGGAGCCTTGGTCACTGGCCGGGACGGAGGGTGGGTTGCCTTCGGCTTAAGAGTCACTGTTTCATCCTTTTTATCCATGGCTGCAGGATGAGGCAGAACTCTGACAAGATCAGGCGGTAAACAGCAGGGAGATGGAGCAGAAGCGGAAATCTGTCAGAAAGGAGAGAAGGCAGGAAGGGCAAGAGGCTCAATCAGCCTGATCTCAGACCTGCTGGTCGCAGTTGCAGTCGCAGTCGGCGCGGCACCAGACGCGTTCCTTTTTTGGCTGCGTGCAAAAATCGTGATTCCAGGACGAGACAAGACGAGCCCCCGAAAGAAGCGAGCAAGGCGAAGAAGAGACGAAGCGACGAAGCGACGAAGCGACGAAGCGATGAAGCGAGCCCCCCCACCAGTGACCACCAGCAACAGCATCACGAGGCTAACTTCTCTATCACAGGCAAGTTTTTCGCCGTTCCTCTTGCAAGAGTCCCTTCCCCGAGATTAGTGGTTTCAGCCTGCTCCTGCCCCTCCTCTTCGCTTTGAGACACCTGCGCCGCCGTCTCACCTCACCAGCGACTGGTATGACCAAGGCTACTTTGGAGGAGGTGACTTTAGCCATGCTGCTCTACTTGGTCCTTACAATACGAGGACATCCGGGAACTGAAGCTCCGTTCGGGGGTGCCAATGAATTGGCTTATCTTCAGTACCGGCAACATGCAGACCGAGAAAGGGGTATCTTTAATCCAAGCCAAAACAAAAGTAATCCTACAGCTCGTGTGTTGTACATTCAATCCGGAACACTCCTCAACCAATCCCAGGACTCGTCCAACTCCTCCTCCAGCCGCCTCGCCATCGTCTGCTTTACCCATCTAGCCTTTGCCATGATCTGGTCCATGTCGTATCTCTGCAGTACTCCTCGAGGTCCGCCGTATTCGTCAATGATGTCCTCCCACCTCGACTCACCTGTGAATTCTTGCAGAGCATTGACCAACATAATCAATTCGTTTTGACCCCATTGCGTCTCGTCCGGAGGAGGAATGTCTTCCGTGGGTTGTCGTCTTATTCTTGGTCTGGTGCGCACGACCGAGCCACCGACATGGCCAGTTTCTTCGTCGTGGTGAGCCTCTGGCACAACCTGTTCGTCGCCCACGGGAATGTTGTCAATATCAACCAAGTTGAGTTGTGAGCTGGAAACCGACCGGCCGGGGATCACTGCATCGTCCTGATAATCTGGAGAGCGATATTGTCGATGTTTTGCTCGAACAGCCTCTCTTCTCCGCTCGTATTCAGCTAGTTGTCTCTCCAAGTTCTGCTTCTGTCGGAGTTCAAGCTCGTCGACGAATCTCTCCCGTTCATCCTCGTCGATCGCACGGCAATACTTCTCCACGATGGTTTCAACGTTGGGCGTGATGTCCGATTTCGTCTTGCTCTTGACTGCGTTCCCAAGCTCAGGTCTCGGCTTCCAATCACGGGCGCTTTTCACTAGAATGGCTGTTATTTTTAGGAGCTGGCAGATTTCTCTCAGAGCCATCGTGCTGAGCTTATCGTTCCGAAACCACGCCTTCAGTGCCCGTTTGGCTAGTTCGAGCGAACTAGGAATCAAGTGCTCATATAAATCACGAACCATCCTTTTCCGCTCGAGGTCGAAGCGCATATCGGGTCTGTAACGGTAGTCACAGATATGTTTGCAACGTCGCTGCAACAGGCCCAGAGTCCCCCGTTCTTCGTGATTCAGACCTCGAGGATACCAAGGATTTTCACGATCGAGCTTCTTATAAATTTGCGCCATCTTTTTGAATTCACGCGCACAAGCTTTGCCCTTGATCGACTCTGGTCCAGAGGAAGCGCGGCTCTCGGAAATTTCGGCGGCAGCGATAAGGGAGTCTGTCCAAGCATCCTTGCAGTTATAAACTTGCACAGCTATCTCGATATCAGACAACGCATCTTTGATCATCTGTTTCCGTTTGACTTCTGCTTCCGCCGCCGTCTGCTCCACGGCATTCTTTTCAGCCTGGGTCCGCGGCCGCTGAGTATGTTTCTCTGCACGTTCAGTATGTTCTTCATTTGCCGCGTTGTCTTCTGCCTCCCCGTGGCTTTCTTCGACTACGTTGTCGTCGAGATAAGCTTCTGATGTCTCCTCAGCCGGTATTTGCCTTGCAGCTTCAGCAAGTGGGTGCAGGTTTTGCTCGATCTCGTCGCCAACTTCTCTCGTTGGTTCGGCAGGATGTCGAAATTTAGAGGACGACTGCTTCGAAGATTTGGTCGGAACCTCTTCATTTGGAGGAACTTCTTCAGCAAAAGGTCGACCAAGTTCTGGTGAGTTCCGCCCCAGGTTTTCTCTCTGGGAAGCTTCGAAGATATCCTCACCGTCGAACGCCTCTCTACCCGTAGTTGCACTTCTTGCTTTTGGCTTGTTTGTAAGGCGGGGACCTTTGTGAAGAGATCGACCAATCTTCTCAATTCGATTCCTCACCGGCCGCTTTCTAGGCGAATCGTCCAAGTTTACCAGCGCATTTGTCTTAGTCTCTAGTATCCCCTTGCCCTTGAAAGGCGACGCTGTCTCTTGTGGCCGTTTGTTGAGCGATCTAAGCTTCTTGACCCGTTTCAAAGGCGCTTTCGTCACAGCTTCCAGTCCCGGGTCGTTGACACGGTTGGGTGCTGAAAGCGACTTCCGAGCTTGAAGCCTCCGGGACTGGCGTCGGGAGGGACTTGTAGTTGCTGCGATGGCCGCGTCAGAGACAGGTACAGGAGGCTCGTCAAGTTGAATCCGCTTGTTCCATGGACCTATCGCATGGGGCCCACCAGGAGATTCTCTTTTCCTTTTTCTAGGAGAACTTCGTGTCGAGTTGGCAGCCTCCTCGTTCAGGATGGCTGTGACGTCTTTCGCTTCCCACTCTGCAGCATCGCGAGCAGAAGATGTACGAGCGGTGCGAGGCATTGACGGCCGACTTAGGAGCGGAGAAACACAGTCTGGGCTGTAAGTCGCACAAATATGGGGTTCGAGGCATTTGCGTGAGTATTGAACTCAGAGCTTTAATGGTTAACTTGACGCGCCCCACGGAACATTGGTTGCGCAGGGGACGTTGCGGTAAGGCTGAGCTTACATAACGAAAAGTGTGGTTACAGCCTTGCCAGCCAGCCAAGCACCAGCGAGACTGTCGTCAGATCTACATCAACTTGTTCCATCATCTATTTATGTGTATTGTTCAAAAAGAGTCTGTTCTTTCATGTGACTCCTCACAGATTGCGTTCCCATTTCGCTTCTGGCATCATTTCCAAATCGGTCTTCGGGATCCAGGGCATTCAAAGAGAGGCGTCATGGCGACCTTCCCAACTCTTGCAAAGATTGCCAATCTAAAGGAGCATCGCTTCGAAAAGCCGGTGAAGAAGATCTTCGATGGTCCTGATGTTTCCTTCTTCTTGGTGTCACTCGCATATCGAGACATCATGACATTCATGTTGCAACTGAATAGGTCGGTTTTGCCACGCAAAAGCCAGACGAGCGGAACGAGCACAATATACACCTGGCGGTTAGACTCAGAGGCGGCTGTGTCGTCAGACGCTGTCTCTCGACTACGCGATCTGTTGACCAAGCTGATAGAGCTCGTCGACGCTGTCCCTCCTGATACCGGTCCCAGGCGATTTGGCAACGTCAGTTTCCGCAAGTGGTACAAGATCGTCGACGAGCAGATTGGCGACTTACTAACCGAATACCTCCCAAAAGAATTAGGACTGGCGCATGAAGAGCTTGGTGCGTATCTGCTGGGGAGCTTCGGCAGCGCTCAACGGCTGGACTATGGAACGGGCCACGAACTCAGCTTTCTTGCCTTCCTGGCTTGCCTTTGGAAACTGAGTTTCTTCCCCGAGTCCGAACCGTGGGTGGAAGAGCGAGGAATTGTTTTGGGTGTCTTCGAGCTGTACCTCGTCCTCATCAGAAAACTCATCAAGACATACACTTTGGAACCGGCTGGATCTCATGGTGTCTGGGGACTAGATGACAATTCATTCCTCCCTTACGTTTTCGGCTCCGCCCAACTGTGTCCGCCGATCGCTGAAACCGACGACACCCCCATTGAAGGATCCCTCCCCGACGCGCCCGAGGCATCTGAAGTGACACGAATCAACGTGGTCGATAAGGAGAAGAGTTCAAACATGTACTTCTCGGCCATCGCCTTCATCTACGACGTCAAAAGGGGCCCGTTCTGGGAACACAGCCCCATGCTCTTCGACATATCCGGCATCAAAGACGGATGGGGCAAGATCAACAAGGGCATGATCAAGATGTACAACGCAGAGGTCCTCTCCAAGTTCCCCGTCGTCCAGCATTTCCCGTTTGGATCCCTGTTCAAGTGGGAGAAGGATCCCGATGCTAAACCTCCACCGACTTCCACGCACACTGCGAGTCAGCCCCTCCGAAACCCCATGGATACTCATGCCCCGGGCGCAATGAGACCGGGCGGCCCGCCGATGGGTGCAATGGCTGCTCCCTGGGCTGCTAAGCCGTCGGCAGCGCCAACAGGGTTTGTCAATGGGGTCACACAGGCACCCTGGGCAAGTCGAGCACCAGCGCCGCCCCCTCCTCGGGGCGCCTTTGCTGCACCCTTGAGACGTCCCATGCAAGCTCTGAAGGAAACGGAGACGAAGATGACCCAGAAATCCCCAGAAGGACAGAAATAAGCGTTGAAGGGGGATTTACCGAACACAGCTTTTAAAAACTGCATCATTATGCGTAGGAACCAGACTTAGCCCTAGACGTCTATCAAGGCTGAAGCAACGAGGCGGGGGTATCACGATGAATCCGAATCATAGCCCACCACCAACGCCGTGCTGTTTTCCACTTTTGTCCCTTCCTCCTTCCTCTGCTCCATCTCCCCTTCGTCCTGCTTTTTCCGCTTGACTCTGGGCTGCCAGATATCTTCCTCTCTTAGGAAGGGATCCGAGGCAATCCATGTATTGCTTTGTAACGTGCTCTGTAGAATCTCCCTCTTATTACCCGGCTTTGCTCCGGTGCTGGACTTTGAGTGCGAGGACGAGGACGACGGGGCCAAATGTGTATTATCGAGGTCAGTGCGAAACATGGGCCTCCTCAAGCTCGTCGAAGACGCTTCGTTCGGCCCTCTGAACTCGACCAACTTGGCCCTCTCGCCGTCCTCGGCATTCTCAGGCAAAATGTCCAGCCCCAACCCGAATTTCTCCTTCAAGGCCTCCCCGGTCTTCTCATCCGCCTGTCTCTTCCGCCTACCGACGCGAAACTCGGCACGGAGCCTTCTACTCTGCTCGTAGGGATCCGCCCAATCGCGCTCGCTGACTCGCAATAACCCCTCGAGCCTGTCTTTCTGGGAATCGAAAAGGGTCTTGTCCTGGACTTTCTTCTCCAGCGCGCCAAACCCGCCATCCCTCTCCAGCCGCTCTTTATCCTCCTCGGTCGCGCCGATGCGGATCTCCCCATCAAGGACCTTATCGACGCCCGTATCTCTCCTCCTCCCGCCTTCGACGACCACGTACTCGGCATTCTTGGGATCGGTCCTGACCTCCAACCAGCCGCCGCACGCGGCGTGTTTGAACCGGAAACTCCAAATGGGAGTGGAGAAGTAATTGCCCACTCTCTTCTTCTCGGCGTTGAACCGCACGCCCTGTCCGATGATCTGCTCGGGCCGGCAGTGCGTGCACCAAATGGCGAACGGGCACTCGAAGCGGACGATCAAGATGCCTTCGGTCTTGAGTTTGCGGGCGCGCGAGCCTAGCGCATGGCCTTTGCCGGAAGCGGTGTTGAATGAGACGACGCCCTCGAGATCCGGAGGGACATAGCGTCCCATGTTGAAGCCTTGCATTTTGCCCAGCTACGTTGTAGATTCAGGGCGTTTCGCCAAGGGGAGACGAGTGTGTGACTGATCAGTCGGGCTCTTGTGATATTACAATGGAGCCTAGAGTTTCCAGACGAGCACCCATCGCAGTAGCCACTCGAACGGACCAGGGAAATAGAAGCCAGAGTTGCCAGGAAGAGAGGAAAATGAGGCGCGGTTGCCAGCAGAATGCGGCTGGTTCAGAACTCCAAACGCAGTCTCCAAGGAATTACGATGATCCGCTTCCGGCAGCCTTGTTCGCTGGCCGGGCTGACCTATTCCCGCCCGGCCTTCAACGGTGGTGGAACTTGAGTGGCCGCAAGGCTCGACAAGCCTGCGTATATTCTACTTTGGCACTTCAGAAGGTGCAACAGGACAGAATGATCACCCTGAAGTCATTCACGCAGAGCTGACTATCAAAACTCAACATTGAAATGCCACGCCCTCCCGCTTCGCCACACTCGACCCTCCGCCAGCGAAACCTGTGCCTTCGCAGCTAATTTCCACCAGCCTGCCTACTTTGTGAATGCTGTCTTTTCTCCCTTTATGCTTTTGGTTCTTATCCTTGTTCTCCTTCTCGCCACTGTCTGCAGCTCTGTGCGAGTCACCACTCAGGTCCGCTTCACAGACATAGCAGGAGATGCTTGCCTTGGCCCCTCTCTCCTCTTTCGACGACACACCATTGGAATCCGTACCCCCAAGAAACAAGTCAGCACAGGCACCGCATATAACATGTCCGCATTCTTCTGCCGTCCCCAACAGCGGTCTCGATGTGTTGGTCAGGGCTTTCTTACAGCTCGGACATATCCTTGTTGGCTCGTCCGCCTTCGCGCCCGCACCCTTTTCAGGCTCGGTTTCTGCAAAATCGACCGTGATGAGCGACTTCAGCGAATAGTTATGTTTATCCCCTGGCGTGGAGGCGGGACATAGCGGATGAAGCTTTTGCTGCTTAGATTTGGAAGAGGTGGTTGTGGATGCTGAGAGGCTGTCAGAGCCTGGGACCCAGAAGCTCGCTTCGGAAGACTTTGGTTTCTTGTTCTTTTCATTGCCTTCATCACCATGACCCTGCGGCTCATTTCGATGGGAATGCAGCTCTTCAGCTTCCCTCTTCCTCTTTCTTCCTATCTCCTCAGATCCAACGTCTACAAAACCCATTGCGGTCCTCTCGAACCTTTCCAGCTCCTTCCTTCTCCTCTCCTCCTCCTCTCTCGCTTTTTGCTCGCGCTCCTCCCTCTCCCTCGTCTCGGCTTCCCTCTCAAGCCGTTTAATCTCCTTTCTCTGTGCCATGAGGTCGTTCAACGCGCATTCTCTGCAGAACAGATGGACTTTTCGGTTTCCACTGTTTCCATCACCGCAAGCAACAGGTGTCCTCGCGTAGCCAAGACATAGGCGACAATACCCGAAGGGAAGGAATGAGTCGCGAGTGAGTCGGGTTGATTGAGTGCCCCAACTTGACCGGAGGAGGGAGCGTTCATGAGACGTGAAGAAGGCTAGTGCCGTGTTGCGTTTTGAATGGGACATTGTGGACCTGTGCCGTTGCACCAGAGAATTGTCGAGCAGTATCAAGAGTTCGAGGACGGAAACAGGTCGGTAGATTTTGAGAATTGAAACTGTTTTTCGATCCTGGGAGAAGGCTTCTCTTAACCGGTGGCTCTCCTTGAACGGTTGCACCAGAATAGCTCAAGGCAGACTGGCGGTTTTTCTAACAGTGGGAGAACAGGAAGCCACCCAATTGTCATTCACATGCAAGGTTCGAAGTCGAGGCAAACGAGCGATTCCAACAGCATTCGGTGTTCGATGGGAAAGTGCCGTACATTTGAACTCAACCCTCTCCAATTATTGACAGAGAGGACGCTTATGCCATCAAAAACTCGCAGGAGTTTATCTCAGTCTCAATGTTTGTAAAAATGGCAACCGGCGATTGTTGGGATAGGTTCGGCCTGTGTTGTGAAGGGACGAAAAATTCAAGGGGGAGCTGGAGCTCGACTCGGACCTAGGATGTCCGTTGGTTCAGATTAAGCACAAATACTCCATATGCATTTTGCAGTGACAGGTTGCTTGGTCGAAGGATGGAAATCAACGACGATAGCGCCGGATGACTTAGTGGGTCGGAGCGGATCAACGAGGGACCGGATAGCGTACTATTAACAGCAAGATTTGTTTGGCCTTTTGACTAGGCCTTGCATTGCCAGCCTTGCGAGTTTCTACCCCGAGGATGCTGGAAGGCCATGCATAGAAGATGAATATATGGCCACTTTCGACTGAAGTTATCCCTGTGCATTGTCCCCCTTTATTCGTCCCTTTTGTTCAGAAGCAATCAACAGGACGACTGCCGTGCTGATGATCCACTTTGGCAAGGTAATGAGGGGGATACCAGCCTCCCAGGCGCTGCACGCAGATCCAGAAAGCCATTCTGCAGAGCATCTCAGGCTCAACCATGTTTCAATCATGGATATCTGATCACGTGCGCCGTCATGCCATCCATATCATCCGTATTACTTAGCGTATTATCGCAGGGACGGAGATGCAGCTCCACTCATCCACATTCCGCACGTTCTTCTCCCAAAATGACGGTGACGCAGGCAGTGCAGGGACGATCATGACTCTTCAACCTGCCTCATCTCTCTTACGGCACCTCAGGCATGAGCATTCCATCAACAGCTGGACGACAAAGTATGCCGGGATCCAGAATGTAACTCCCACCACCACCAATAATATCTGAGCCCACAGAGGCCAGTCTAGGTAATTAGCAGCTGATCGACGTAGGATCTCGTGATGAGGACCGTGTGCAGATGCAAGGACAGGTGCCATTGCAGTAATTGTTTTGCCGTGGGTTTGATTCGTGACCTGGCGCTGCAAGAGCCGTGCCGTTATACGCTCACAACGCCTAATGAAAACGATCAGATCAGGATTTCATATCGTGGTGGACAAATGCTTACCTGACTTCTGCAGCCGGTCCTGATTACTGGATGGTGTGTAACGGATGGAACAGACAGTGTTCCGGTCAATGTTGCTTTGAGTGGCAGATTGGGAAATGGCTCTCTGTCCATAAAACTCATCATTTTCTGCAGTTTAAGACGACGATAACTCCGGGGTTCATGAAACATGACCACAAGAAAGCGGTCATTTTTGTCTGGGCGACAGAAGTTCTCGCAGGGCCGAGGTGTCATTCTTTAGCGAAGACGTCTGAGCGTTGTGTCTGCAAACAAAAACCCGGACAAAGGACCCTTCCCACACAAGGAGTCCTAGCACAGTCACTACAGCCATTTACGGCCAGCAGCAGTGACCCTCTGCTTGAAAACTGGACTCTTGATGGGATTCCCGATCCTGTAGAATGGATTCATCAATGTCTTGACCCAGAGTTCGAAAACCTCGTTCATAAACTGCCGAATAGCCTCCTCTGTCTGAGGACTAGTAGGATTCTGCGGAATTGAAGTCGACGAAATGGTAGATGCTCGAGCGCCAGCGGAAGAATTGGTTATTGCCGATGGTTGATGGAGAAGCATAAACCGAACATTGGTTCCCGTAATGAAGCAGCTGATGTGCGAGTTCGTGGGTGCATAGTTGTCAATGACTTTAAGCCACATATTTGGCGTGAGCCACTGCACTTCTTCCACGACATCCAGGGCGGCGTGGACAATAAACTGGTTCATGTACCGAGAGGTCTCGCCATTGCGGAATCGAGCAACGCCGTCACCGCCAGCTTTTGATGTGCCGAAGGTCAATTCGAAGAGCGGCGAGTCGGCTGGCGAGATGATGGCGAGGTAATACGACATCTCTTTCGTGTTTTTCGAGTGCACTGACCCAGACAAGTCTTCAGATGCGATTTCAGCCAATACGCGCTGATTGAGACCTCAAATAACTTGTATTCGACTAGTGGAAGAAGACATTTAAATGCTTGAAGCGGGCGAGGCTGGGCGAAGAAGGCTTGGCACAACTCCGGGGAAATGGTGGGCGCATGAAGGCTCCCAAGACACCTCGATGTCGAAAATTCAAAACTCCCGACACAACGAACAAGCAGATTCTAGACGATTTGTCTCCGTCAAGTACGATGCGGGATGCCGTCTCTAGCTTTCGGTCTCAATTCTGCCAAAACCTCCTCAGGTGTTTCGAAACCTCCGCAGAAACGCAAAGCCTTCTTCGACGACGAAGAAGATGCAGCTGAGGACGTTGCGCCTGCGCCTGAATATGGAGCGAAGAAAAGCTCGAAACCCTTGCGCCCCGTAAAAGACATGGACGACGACGGCGATGATGGAGAGCCGCCGAGGAAGTCGCCAAAGCTCTCGAAGTTCAGTCTGCAGCCCGCGAAGCCAAAATTCTCCGGAACTGCGCCAGGGACGGACAAATATGACAACCTGTCGGCTCTGCGCAGTGCCAAATTGCATGACGAAGAAGCCTCAAAGATAGATGCGTCCGTCTACGACTACGACGCCGCCTACGATACGTTCCATGCGGAGAAAGAGAAGAAGTCGACTGAAGCGGGTGGATCTTCGGGACCTAAATACATGGGCTCACTACTGCAGAGCGCTGAGGTGCGGAAACGAGATCAACTTCGAGCGCGAGAGAAGCTCTTACAGCGTGAAAGAGAAGCAGAAGGAGACGAATACGCTGACAAGGAGAAATTCGTGACCGGAGCGTACAAGAAGCAGCAGGAAGAAATCAGGCGTATGGAGGAAGAGGAGAAAAAGCGTGAAGAAGCCGAAGAAGAGCGGCGAAGGCAAGGCGGTGGCATGACTGCATTCCACAAGCGCATGCTGGAGAAAGACGAAGAGAGGATGCGGATGATTAAAGAGGCGGAAGAGGAGGCCGCAAAGGGAAAGGAAGGTGGTGTAGAAGAGGAGACGCCCGTTGTGGAAGAGGAATCCGAAGCGAAGATGGCCGAGAAGATGAATAAGCAAGGGGCACGGATCATTGTCAACGATGAAGGTGAGGTGGTTGACAAACGTCAGCTGCTATCCGCGGGTCTGAATGTGGCACCCAAGAAGCCCGGCAAAGAGCAGGCCGCCCCTGCGAGACCGGAATCTGCTCGCAAGGATGAATACTGGAAGTCGTCCAAAGCGGTTGATGCGCGTCACGCTCAGCGCGAGAGACAATCGCGAATGATGGAGAGACAGATTGAGGAGATGATGGAGAAACAAAAGCAGGCCGAAGCGCAAGAGGAGAGACAACAGCAGGAGAAGATTAAGAGCAAGGTCAGCGAAGCCGATAAGATGAGTGCCAAAGAGAGGTTTCTCCAGCGGAAAAGGGAGAGGGAAGAGGAAGCGAGGAAGAAGAAAGAGGCTGGCGGATGAAGCGAGTCGAGCGTCTGTTCTCAGCCGTTTTTCTTGCTGCCTTGTTATCATGCCAGCTACGCTTACTGGATGAACATGCCACCGTCGACTGCGATGATCTTGTTGTGGACATAACCGGTCTTGACGATCCACAGGACCGTCTCTGCGATCTCTTCAGGTTTCCCAAGTCTGCCGATGGGGATTTCTGAATAATTCCCCAGTCAGCAAATTAGAGCTTGGACGAAACAGTGCACGGAGTGGCTCACTCGCAGATAACTCAGCGGACCCTCCAGGCAGCATCTTGGTCTCCTCGATCAGGGCTGGAGCGACGCCGTTGATGGTTACGCCAGTCTTTGCATAGGCGCCTGCCAGCCAATGCACCAGGCCGTGCAGTGCCGACTTGGACGACCTATCACATGAGAGTTAAGCTCGAGATAGACAAAAGAAATCGCATCGAGAAGGGCACTCACGCATAATGCGGTCCCACCACACCACCTGTAAAGCCAGCGACACTGGAACAAAACACGACTCTGCCCCAGCCGGCCTCTACCATCTTGGGGATACACAACTGGGTGAGCAAAAACGCCGTGCCGCAATTCGCTCTCCACGTCTGTTCAAAGTCATCCACGGACACCTCAAGGATATCCTTCACGCGGGATTTCCCCATGGTCAACCCGGCGTTGTTGAAAAGGATGGTTGGATGGCCCATCTCTCGCACGATGTCGGCGTGGAGAGCGCGGGTCTCGTCGTAGGAGGACAGATCGGCGCGGAAGGCAGAGGCGCGCACGTTCATGGATTTGAGCTGGGCAACGAGCGATTCAGCCGTGTCGGAGGCGCTGTGGTAGTGGACGGCTACGGAGCAGTTGAGGTGAGCGAGGGCAAGGCACGTTGCTTTGCCTATTCCGCCTGTCGCTCCGGTCACCAGAGCGAGATGGGAGGAGAGATTGGTGGTCAGGGCCATTTTTGTCGGTGGAATAGTTGGGCGTTGCAGGAGATGATATAGTTAGGTAGATCTGTGGGAAGTCGAAGAAGACATCCACAGCGAAACCTCAACCCAGCTCAACTCAGCTCAGCTCTTGCTTCCCGTCTCTAAGCCGGGGATCCAGTACCGGAAAGACGAAGCTGGCTTCCCTATCGGTTCAACTGCCGTAGTTGATTCTCTCGTTCTTTCGTCGTCCTCTCGCTTTTCCAGTCCGCTCTAAGATTCAGTCTTCGAATCTTCTTTTTCTCTCTCTTCGTTTTTCTCTCGAGTCCAGCAAAGAGGCAGAGGGATCCAAATCACCAGCCTGTCCAAAGGTGTAGATGTAGCCACCATATTATACGTACAGGGTACACGTGCACGGTACGAGGCACTCCTGATATATTCCGGCGGACATCAATCAGGGCCGGCGAAGTTGCACTTGGATCTTGGTTTATCCCCGAGAACAATCTAAACGCCGAGTCCCTCACATCCCCCCGCCGCGATGGCAGCCAACGCAAATTCAAGCAAAGCAACCAAAACACCAACTCACATGAAGCTCTCTGTGCACAGCTCAGTCCGCTGTCCTGTCGCTATCGCTGACGCTGAGTACTGTGCACTGACACAGGCACGAGGAACAGCAACAACGACCCCTCCTCCCTCCATTAGATCCGTCCGCCGCTATTTTCCTTCCTGTGCATACGACCATTAATCGATCGAGCTGCACACGCCCAAACACATTCGTATATATCGCTACGCACAGAGTCCCCTGCAAGCCGCGTCAACCGGAGAGCGAGTTTGAGCTTCTGAGGGACACGAACAGGAAAGCTGGGGCTGGAAGGGAAGAGGAGGGAATGGAAGTAAAAATCAGGGTATAGCGCACACTGTATATATCTACGTATCTATACATGGTGAATCAGGCGAGACCGGCGAGGACCAGCGTTGCCAATCATCCCAAGGTGCGGTTTCACTAGTGCCTTTGACAAGTTACTGCGCGAGCCTCGCATACTTAGGTATACACCCCTTGCACCAGCACTGGGAGCAAACAAAACCGCCGCCATCGCACCCGTTGACACGCTCCCCAATGTCAACATCAACCCATCGATCCTCCCCGTCATGTCCCTCGAGTCTAACGACCGCCATACTCCAGCTGCACTACCTGGCTGAAGGTGCCGCCAACATCATCTACAGTGTCTCTGTTCTGTCACCCTTTTCTCTCCAACACCACTCACACTGCTGCGTCATGCGTCTCCGCAAAGACCTGCCCTTCACGCAACCCGCTGTGCAAGCCATGTCCGACTTTCAGAACCGTATCGCACCGCTTTTCAACGAAAAGCACAAGGCCTTGCTGATGGAACAGGCGCTGTATATGCTCACGCCAGAAATGGTGAGCAAGTCCAACAACGAATTAAAAGAGATTGACAGTGTGGATTTATCTGCCCTCTCATCGGAAGATGTCAAGGGGAAACACATCCGGCATCATCATAGACGCCATGTCTACCTCCCACCGTACGAGAACGAGCAATATGGGATTTTGATGCCAAACTTGCAGGGTCCTGGGGTTGATTGGTTGGTCGAGTTCAAGCCGAAATGGCTGGTGCAGAGCCCCAGTGCGCCTGCAGACGCGAGAAATTGCAGGACGTGCGCGCTGAATACCATGCGCAGAGAGGCCGGGGCTCATCAAGGGAGAGGAGACTCGGGATTTTGCCCTTTGAACCTGCTGGTAGCTGATGGCGTGGTGTTGGAGCGAGCGCTGATGAATATCTGGCCACTCAAGGATGGGATCGACCAATTTGTAGCGGCGTTCAGAGAGAAGGTCCAACCTGCTTTGAGACATTTACAGACTCTTCAAGAAGAACATGGGGCGGTGGGATTGGACGATTTTCTCCATCCCGATGGCAAGGACTTTGGCGTGGCCATGGCACTGAGGGATTGCAGCGTCTTTCTAGCTCTAAGGCGAAGAACCGACTCGGACGACGGAGGAGTCGAGATTATAGACGTCAGGCTCGCCGACTTGGATTTGAAGACGAGCGAGGCAGGAAAGGTCCAGAAATGGGCCGCCATGGAGCAGGAGCTGCTGGCTGGCGGTTGGTACCAGAAGCTCGACGGGTCGAATTGTGCGTTAAGCCGTCCAATTCTGTCACAAGCATAATTATGTTCCGTCACCAATTGTGTTTGATGGGAAAGATGAGATCGGCCAGTCTCTGGATGTGGGGGTCCTCGATGGCTCTGATCTCGTCCTTGATCTGCTCGAGCAATTCCTCGGACAATCCGCCCCTGCGACGGGCATAGATGTCGACGCCCGCGGGTGTAAACAGCGTCTTCTGGAAAAACGTGACCACCCAACCGCCCTCCTCGTCACCGTATCCCAGTATCTGCCAGTGGCTCGACGCGATTTTCAGGAGACCTTTGCCGCGCCAGCTGTATGCGCCTTTGGTGTGGGCGACCGGGGTATCGACGCCTTCGACGCGCTTGTGCTTGTCCGAGGTCAGCGGCTGGTATTCGACCAGATCGTCGAGGCGCTCGCCGTCCTGCGGTATAGAGGTGTAGGTGATGGTCACATTGCGGTTGTGCTTCCACATGGGAAGCGTCGAGTGGGTGACGTGCCATGTCCCCTGCAGGAAGGCTACGTCGGGAGACTCAAAGTCGCAGGTGCCAGGAGACGCTGTCGATGGTGGACGGAAGTTGAGTTGTGGTATTCTTGGGGCGGCGGGCATGGTGGGGGATGGGAGCGGCGGTGGTGATGGTGCTGAGTGTGTATGCCGCAGACAAAATGGGTTGGAGATGGAGATCGAAGTTGGAGTACCTCGTAGTTGTCACAACAGTGGTTACGGAGGAGCAAGGGAGGAGTGACTGGGGGAATTGGGGCTGCCACCTGCCCGGTGGAGGCTACCTGCTCCTTTAACTACGAGGTCCTCTTAGCCCTTCGTACATCCCTTGCAACAGATAAATGCTTGTAACCAGTGATGGGCTCCGTACCATGTGGACTGATGCTCCTTGTGCTCGTCAAGTTCCTTCCACACGACCAATTGGGTCAACAGTCACACCACAATCTTCCTTATTGATCTCTCACGCTGCGATATTTATCACCAGAGAGTGACAAGATGCCCAAAACGAAGCTCCAAAAAGCCACCGACGTCCTTGTTCCCTACTTGGAATTTAATTGCCGCTGGCCATGTCAAAAAGCTCACCCCAAGGTCACACTGTACTGCAACATGTGCTTGTACTTGCACGAGTAGGGCACTTGCCATCTGAACCAAAAGGGACTTGACACGATCCTGAAACAGTGCCCTTCAGTTACAGGAATCAGAAACGCCCTCTCTCTTCCATCTCGATGTGCTTGTTACTCCGTACTTGGGACATGGCTAATCGGAATGGACGGGCACATGAATCTCCCAGTCTCCCATTGACTCTCTATCAACTTGTTCGAATCATTTCCAGCGAGGCCCTCTACATGCACTGCAATTGTCTGGGTGGTGGTCAACGGGCAACCCCGGTAATTAATCAGTTGAGGCAACCCATTGAGAACGATCGGGCCCGGCTAAGCTAGTTAGCTACAGTAACTTAGACCGTCTGAGTGACTGCCTCAGCCACACACACGTCCGACATGGCAGTGTGGTGAGACGACCCATCTCGAGGCTGTTTTGAAACTCCTGGGTAGTAATGGTTGGAGATGGTTTCGTCAAACAAAAACCTTCAGACAATGAGTTTGATGACAAACACCTCCTACCACATCCGACTCTCCCTGGCCTCCTGGACGCCATATATGTCCTATCGGTTCTCAGGGCTGAGGAGACAGACGGGCTGAGAGAGTTTTCCATCTCAGAGTGACCTCAGGTGACCTATGTCTTTGTGGAAGGACCAGTCCCCGTCCAAGTCTTGGGTGGGAGACCTCCAGAAGGAAGCATCATGCATGATCTTTGGACAGACTCCAATTGCATACACCCACATGGATCCAGCATCAAAACTCACATAACCTACATAGCTCAACATCTTCAGGAGTCAAATCTCCTGTCAGCAAACTCATGCTCTGGACTGGTTTTCGGAGAAGGGAGAACGGTCGACACCGGTGTTTGTCCTTCACCAATGGTCACCCAGGCCTGCTTTGTTCGTCCTCTGCCTGCAAAGGACATCATGGCAATGACAGGTTCTGTGAAATTGAGAGACAGATTCACTACAGAGAGGCACAATGTCTTCATCTCGGGCGTATCAATGATCGACCGGAGTGAATCCTTCCCCGCACGGCATACAATACCCCGCATCGCGTATATTCAAACTGAACTTTTTGTTGACAGAGTTTCTGTGCTCACTTTGTGCTCACTCTGTAATGTCTTTTCCACACCGCGTTCACGTCACCGATTGCGCCCATTGAACTCCCCGCGACGTCCACCACTGATCCAGCATCATGAATTCGGGTTCCGTCGCGAACTGGCGCCGGCGCGATGCTGACATGACGGCCAGAGACCCGCCTGGCGCGTCCAACGGCTCCGGCAGCGACCCAGCTCCACACACCAACCAAGCCACTGGTGAAGAGGAGACCGAAGAAACTACTGCACCCTTGGACGGGGATGGCGTGGCGGACCCTCTCGCCATAACGTCGGTCCTCGAAGCAATCACAGCCCAGAACCGTGCTATACCAGTGGTGGCCCCCCTCTGGACGGAATATCGATTGGCAGCATGCCATTTGGATCTGCTCAAGCAGCGAATCGACTTGTTTGGTGAGGGCGGGAAACTGCGGTATGCTTCAGGAATCAAAGACATGCCCAACTTTGACGGCTGCTAACTGTGAGCCAAGTTGTGGGTATTTCTCCCGTACCAAGACCTTTGTTCACGAAGTGCCCTCATCTGCGCATCAGATGTGCGCTAATAAGTTTCGCTGGAGTGTCTATGAGAAAGTGCTGCGTCTATGCCCTTCGCTGGCAGAACTGCCATTTGTGAAAGAAGTCATCTTTGATCACTCGCCCACCATCGAAGCAAGTGACGGCCAGGGCAATGATTTCCACCAAGCAGATCTGTTTGTCAATCATATCCTCTCCATGGATTATGGTTTTTGCCTCGAGTTCGCGTATGCGCAGAAGCGCGACAGACTATCCGATTTGGCCCAATTCTACATCCACGACAGTGAGACAGAGACACGGCTTGTCATCGGCATCGACTACGACCCCAAACATTCGAAGAAAGCCACCCTACGGACGTGGAGACGCGACGGCGACAAGCTTCAAGCCCATGTTCAGGTTAGTGTATCATCCCAGCTATGACTGAACAAGCCACTCACTTTTAGCGCCTAGGATCTCCGAGCCGATGACGGCAAACCCATTCCCGGTGACCCACTACGGATCAACGTGTTGGACATCGCCCCACCACATTGCACCCCGCTCTCAATGCACAGCAAGGCTATTGAATTTTCGGTCAAAGAACTTGATGACATTCTGTATGTCCAGGATTACCACCACTGGAAGTTGTGGCAGTATGGAGGAGTGCCCGAACCGCGGTATGATTGACCTGACAGCGGTTCTGTGTCAAGCCAAGCTTGTCACACATGACAAGCATATTGACCTCCGAGCGAGGCGCGAGGCTGGACCAGCAAGAACTCACTCCCTGCCCTTGAGTCCGAAGGCGTGGTACTCTAAATGATACCCCTGTGCAAATATCAATCATGTTTCAGTGATCCAAGATACCCAAGACCGGTCGAGATGAAGGACCAGGAGCGATGAGGCGTTAAGAGGACATTGGAACGGCTCATCCATGTACGGATATTGGACAGTCTCACAGAGAGACTTTCAGAGAGAACACTGGAAATCAGAAATTGGAAAAAGAGAATCAAAAAAAAAGAAAATCACTCTGTCTTGGCCTATGTTGCGCGGGACAACGTGAGCCGAGATAACTTCCTACGGAGGAGCACTTATGGTGACATAGCACTAGTCACAGCGAGTTGAGCGAGGTACTTGTACATACTTCGTACATCGCTCGATAGGCTGCGGTTGGTTCGTCCAATCTGCCAAGACCCTTACTTTCTCCACTCCCATCTTTTCGCTTATCGGAGCTACTCGTACGCGACCCGCTATGACGTCTATTTGTTTATATCCCTCCCGCTTCACGCCACCTGCGGGCGTCACCGCCTTCACGGCGAGCCGAACGAATTGGAAAAAAAAAAAAAAAATTCCTAGGCGAAGCGGCACACTCGAGGTCCGGCGCTGTTAGAGCGGGGTCCTCCGCCTTCGTTGACAATGAGCATTCCATGATACCCTTGGAAATAGAGGCACTCTGTCGTCCATCTAGGCCCCGTTAGCTGCGCTCGACATCGCAACCACTTGGTCATTGTCGGGCCCCCCTTCTTCGGCCACCTTGGATGCGGCGTGTATTTTGGCGTCAGACTGTGTCACTTGTTTCTCGATTCGGCTTGGCGGTCGCCATCGCCAATCGTCATAACCATTCTCCTCCTCCGTGATCTTGGAGACTTGTGTTAATCCGGGATACCTGGATGAGAAGGGCAAAGAGATAGGTAAGAAGCGAAAGAGAGGGAAATCGACCACGAAAATGAAATGAAGAGTTTGAGATTGAGAATTTGAGCTATCTAGCCAAGCGCAAGGGCCTTGGGGTATCATCTATCCATACAGCAAAAGGTACCTGGTACTTGGTGCAATGGGCGGTTGTGTGCCGACTCGCTGCGACTACCGCTTCTCCTGCTGCTGTTGTGTCGGTCGCATGGTGCGCATGGTGCTGTTTATTGCTCCCTCATGGCAGCGTTGATCATTTCACGCTGCCACTTGGCTATGGCTAGGAAGTGGCAGAGCCGGCTGGGCGAGATGGAAATACCGGTCTCGCGACCCAGGTATGTCCGGGTGTCGATGAGTGGCTTCACGTCCGCTGGGATCATGCGCTCGGGGCAGAAATCGCTCAGACTGAGATACAGGCCCTTGCACTCTGCGTTGACCGAGCCGTCCGCCTTCTGGAATTCCTAGAATAGGACCATTACTTTGATGCGTACAGAAGGGGGATGGAGAGGGCACGGGAGAGAATACAACAAAAGGCGGACCATATCTGACTCACCTCCTCGAGCACGAGCTCAGCTTGTAACTGGCCCGCCCAGGCCTCTCGCTTCTTCCAGACCAGGACCTTGGCCTGCTTGGCGGCAGGATAGCCGATGTCGAAGGCGACGACAGTCTGGACTTCGCCCTTGGACCCCCCGATGTACTCTTGGGCGAGTTCGTGCAACGGGATCTTCTGGCTGGAGAAGGCGATTTCAAAGACGATGCCGGGACCGTGCGCGTCGACGTGGGCGAAGGCCAGGTCTGGGGAATGCCAGCTCCCGCCGGTCTCCACGATGTCGATTGGGGAGTCAACTCTCTGGCCGAGCTGGGCGGCGAAGTCGGCGATCCGCTTCTCGGGATGGTGCTTGCGGATGCGGAGGTCGTTGGTGATGTGATCGCCGACGTTCCAGCCAAAGGCAACGTGGATGATGGTGGTCATTCTGATCGCGATCTTTGGGGCTGCTGGAAAGTAGTCGTGTCTGCCGATTTTTCCAAATTCGCATGTCAGCATCAACATCATCATGAGTGAGTTTTGTCAAGGTGCATTTTCTGTGTGGGCTGGAGCGTCGGGAGAAGAGGCGCCATCATCGCGCCATCATTACTGGGGAGCAGAGCGACGCTGTGAGAGGCGCGGTTGGAGTTATTGTTCGAGACCATTCGTGAATTTTCCCCTTCCTCCTCCTCTTCTTCTTCTTCTTCTTCCTCCATCTTCTGCTCTCGTGCTTGGTGTTGCGGTATCGCGACACCCGCGTTTGTGCCAGACACCCCCAGGACGGCGGCGGCTTCTTCTTTGTCCATAACTAGAACAAGGCGTGTTTTGAGGACGGATATCCGGTAGATGCCCGGTGATAGTATTAGATACAATTCAGGTCCTCATGCACAATATCGCTGCGTGCAGATGAATAAGAGCGGCATCGTGAATGGAAGCGGAGGCTACGGGCGGACTTTCTACTGACGACGCGATATAAAATGCATTACTCGGTCTTGCTCACTTTGATAACGTACAAGCGCAAGTCGCGACTACAGCGGAGCATTGATTGTATACTGTTGAGGCTTCACAGTGAGCCGAACCGGGACAGCAAATGGCACTGTGTGTGAGTAACATCGACAAAGACAAAGCCGCCATCGTCGTGTTGGTCACATACCCGGTACAGCCCCAACGGCATGGGGATAAGAGACGGAGCAACCTCCCTTCCCAGAGGTAAATGAAAATGCTGGACGTAAAGGCACGGCCTCCTTCAATCTACGCAGTCACGACCGGTGACATGGTCGTTTTCCGAGTGTCAATAAGCCCTGGGCCTGTTTCCGTCGACTAGGGAGCTTGAGACCGCTGTCACCCAGCTTTCGGTGAGATGGATGGATGGACTAAAATTCCACCAGAGCCCTCGCTGGGAATATGTCACACTCTCTTTTGTCGCTTCCGGCAGTCTCGAGCCTCGAGTCTCGAGATAATGGGAACAAGGATTAGTCAATGCGCCAGAGTCTCCGCGCAATTGAGGGTGGTACTACCGCTCGCTCTGTTCCCCTGAAAGATCAAAGCTTGAAGAGTTGAAACACCGGCGCGCCCTTGCTCCTTGCACCTTGCACCTTGCACCTTGAGAATTCCGCCTCGGACAAAGCACGAGGCCTGCCATGAGCGATCGTATGAGTGGACCTGTTACATCTCACCACAAGACGCAAAACGGGACACCATTCGAGCGGCAGCCTTGTCCGGACGATCTGAATGCTGCTGACCGCGTTCTCCTCCTCCTCCTCCCAACTTCCGTGCGCAAAACTCTGTGTGTTTATACCCGCCGACGACACTGTCGAGGGGAGCCTTGCGCAGAAGAGCCCGGTGCATCTTCTGCCACGTGAACACGCAGTGGTAGGCAAGCTGCTCGCTCGAAACATAGAGGGCGTCGAACTCGCCAAGCTCGACCTCGCGCTGAGAAACGGCCTGCGTTCTGTTCTCGTCCAGAAACCACCCCCAGGCCCGGAGAGAGCTGAACTCCGCGGCCAGCTCGCGATCATAACATGCCGGGGCCATCCAGGCGAAACTCACAATGTCGAACGCGCAGCCCCGCGACAGCGCCTCGCCGCGCGTCGAGCCGCAATCCTGCTGTGACGAGGACAGCGAGGCATTCGTCCTTGCGCTCTCAGCGATGATAAAGCGCAGGCCGAGGCTGACGGAGACCAAGACGACCACGATCAAGACCGCCATTGACACAATCTTGGCCCGTTCTGACTGCCAGGCTTTCTCTGTGCCCGTGTACGGGCTCAGGTCGCTTCCCTCTTCTCCTTCTTCCTCTTCCGCTCCTGCTGCTGTTGTTGCTGTCGGCAGCAAATCATACCTGAGCCGTCTGCTCATGCTGCCGAGGACCATTTCGATGTCCATTCGACAGCGCAGGCCTAGTCGGCGTTCAGCGAGGTCTCCGATTTTCTCTCGTCGGGCGCCTGTTCTTGGGAGATGAGAATGCGAAGCGCTATAACTCGATTTCCCCTCCGCCTTCAGTGCACCCGCCTTGAATATCTTCTAGCGTTTGGAATGGAGACACAATGAGTTACATCCAAAGGATCACGCCGTTTCGGCTCATTACACAGAAACTCCGTCAAGCGCTAGGCAGCGCATGTATCATCTATCACCGCCGCCACCACCACCACCGGGCGCTAGACTGACGATATACTGTCTTGCCCCTTCAGTCGTGCAGCGGACGATCCGCTCCCCACCGCCGCTGATGAGGCTCACAGGGCTTAGGCCCTCCCATCTCATGACAGTATGACCCGAGTGGGTTATGCTCTTGGGACCCGGAGCCAGGCCAAATCAAGTCTCATTGTACTCCTCCTGTGAGAGACGCGCGCCCAATCTGGAATGCCTGACTGTCTGTCAATGTCCCTTTCTTTGTCGGGAAAAAGTTCGCAAGCCAGGCATGCCCTATGACGATAGGTAGAGAACCATGTGTGGGTCGTGAGCGATTAGAATAACATTGACCATCTTTCCTGCGCCTTTACTGTGGTAATGTGCAGTGTACAGTGCGGCATGTTGTCAGTTGCTTGCTTCCCTGCTGGCCCGTCAGCTTACCTTATCTTATACATACCCATCCATACCCAGACCCACAGCACACCCGTAGCATACCCGTCCTTGGGGTTTGTTTCGCAACCATGCGATCGAATCTCTGGCGAAGATGGTGTTTTCTTTTCAGAAGCCGACGGGACACGCACGTGCCGGGAGACGAGCCTGCCGGGCCCTGTCTGGTTCGTCTGACAATATCAACCGGCGGTGCTGGAGTTGGAGCTGGAGCTGGAGCTGGAGCTGGAGCTGGAGCTGGAGCTGGAGCTGGAGCTGGGAGTGATAGATGACGAGCTTGTGCATACATACAGTAGGTGAGAAGAGCCGCGGCGAGAGGAATAAGATAACAAAAGGAACAAGGACAAAGCCCGAGCCCCGTCCCCAGGGCAGCTCGGACGTCCGACCACTCCGTAAGAATTGGAAGTCAGCGCGGTAGGTGCGGCATGGGACGTGACGAAGGGAGAAATTATAATGAGAGAGTCGGTATGGCAATGAATGGTAGGATGCAGAACATGGAGGAATACTATGTTTTCAAGGTATATATGGGCCTGCGCCTACAGACATACGAAGGACGGATAAACTGTCATCATCTACACAGCTTGTTGTCCCGGAGAGCGTCGGAGATCCTTCGTGGAGGACGTCATTGATCGGACGTCGACTCAATTGACTGGCTGGCTCCGTTCACTCGAGAAGATCCATCAATGAAGCATGAGTTGGAGAGACCAATGGATCTCACGAGGGAGACATGGCCATGAAATTTAAAACATCTCATCCGGCGAACGGCTGCGGTCCTTCGCGGGCTCGGGCTGTCCGCGGGCGGCTCCTCTCGATGTGTATTGTATGTAAATTGCAGAGGGATATTACCTGTGCGGAAGGGTGAGCATAATCGGATGGGTTTGAGGGCAACAGACACCGCAAACGCGATGCGCGAGATGTTCTATCTTATTTTGATTGTAGGTTTCGTGGCAGTATGCTCCATATGCCCGAGTCTTGACCGAGTGGAAAGCGGTTTGCCTGGGAAGGATCGTCTAATAACCACTGCCCCAATCGAGGAGTGTGTGAGAGCGATGCGTTGCATGTTGGGACAAACTCGCGCACAATGCCATCCCCGCGCAACTGGCATCGAAGGATCATGCCGTGAAAGGTGGCGGAGGGGTTTAGACGCAGAATCGCCTGAACACAAGACACCTCAACAACCTGAGTTCTCGAAACGTTGCACATAAGAGGTAGACGGTGTAACCTCAGAGCGGGGAATGAGTGTTGACGGCTGCTTCGCAACAATGAGGTGGATGTCGTGTAGCATGGAAGGAAGTGTGTTGTGCAGCATTGTTCCCAAGGTTTCGCTTGAGGAAGATTCTATTGCTAATTAGCATAATCACGCAATGTCAAACACGAGAGCTGCCTGAGATTGTCTGATAAGCAGACTATCGCAGAGAACGGCACAACGGTCTGCAGGCCATTGCTCCTTCGCGCATTAGCCCCCTTGGCCGGAACGAAGACGAGACATTTGCCACGGGAAGGGGGAGCCAAAGAGCCAATTGCATGGTTGACGTGTCTCAAGGCATCGATGATGGTGTCTGTCTGTCTGGAGGAGAGAGATTGAGGATGCGAGAACCAGAGGTTTGATGGAAATTTCCAGATCTGCAACGAGATGTGCGACAGGGACTTTGGAGGGTATGTGCAGGTGAGATGAGTGGACCACCAAGTTAGCGAATGCCGCTCATTCAATTAGGATCGACAAGACCCTTCGACAATCAAATGTCCCCGATCAGAGGGGCTTCTGTGTGAAGGTATGGCTGTCGAGCAGCCGCGACATCGTTCAGACGGAGCGCACCGATCTCGGTCCCAACAAGCTGAAACAGGCTGCTGCTCTCGTGTTCTCGAGGGCCGGACTCAACCATGGTCGAAGCACGGTGAACTGGGCCGTTCAGGAAAGGTTCTAGGCCCAAAGTTGGAGGCTTGATCTGTACTCGTATGACATAAATGCATGTGTGGTAGCATTGGAGATGAGCGAGGTCTGGGGTTCTCCACGATCTCGAGGAGAATTCTGGAGATATTGTTCGCAAAGGTGTGCGGCTCGGTCAGGGAGGGAATGGGGATCTTCGGTCGTATACTGGAGAAAGGGTTGTGGTTCGCCTACAAGAAGCAGAGTCTGGCAGGACCGAAATTTTCACATGTCAAACGCGGCTCGCATGGAAAATTTCCAAGCTGGACAAATCACGTAAGAGAAAAGGCTGGGAGCAAGAGGCCGGGGGCGACTGCACCCCGCCATCACTGCATAGATCAGCAAGGGACCTCGTCCCAACAAAATTTTGGCGAGGCGTTTAGACGGATATGATGTGTGACATTTCTGTCTCTGATGTCTGTGTTGCGCCATGCATTCGACACGAAGCATGTGCAACATCAAAACGGCCAAGGGAGTATGAGGGCTCTGGGTGGCGGATGGGTTGGGTAGCAGAGGATATGCCATTTCTGGCCCAAGAACGGCAAATCCTGGCCGATATGGGTAGTAGTGGCAACCTCCAAGTCCGCCCTCATCTAGCCAGGAGTGTGATGGCGCCAGTGTGGCTTGCATAAGTCTTGGTATCAAACTTGACAGCAACTGCGAACAACCAGCGGATTGCCAGTGGAGATATGAATGCGCCGAGTGCTGCTGGCTTCATGCATGCACTTGAACCTGGAGAAGAAGGATAGGAAACGATATCCACCGCTCTCGTTGACTGTTGGGGCTTGACAGTTCACACGGACCAGT